ATTCAGAGGAGACGGGAGCATCTTTGGGAAAGAACCGTTCGACTGAGATTTCATTTTTTTCTCCCCCTACTGAATCAGTGGGTGCGAGGGGGGTGACGGAGACCACCTGCCCAATGGGCATCTTCGCCCTCAGATCCACAGGAGAACCCGAGACATTACACACATTCACGAACACTCTTCCCGTAGCTCTATGCAGAGCTCTTGTGGAGATCAGTTCAGGGATTACCTCTATTCCAGAATTCTTTATGTCTTCAGGGTAGGATTCCAGCATCACATAAGGTCCTGGTTGGGCCCAATTGAATCTGACCGTCGCTTTCAGACAGATCTCCTCTCCGGGCTGCAAATCCTTTGTATCAGGGATGTCTATGACTATGCTCATCCCGAATTGGCCATTCTGGTCTTGACACCACTTGGTGGCTGCGTCTTGGTCCATGTTACCAATTTGTCCCGTTGGTGCGGTCATTCTCTAGTGAGGGGGGTCAGAAACTCCCGTTGGTGCGGTCATTCTCTGGTGAGGGGGGTCAGAAACTATCCCGGACGAGCCCCCAAATGTAGCGCTCACCCCCTAAGGAGCCGCTGAATAACCGGATATTTCTATCCCCCTGCACCAATGTACCGCCCTAACCGTGGATCCACAGCACACCAACACACCTTGGAACAGTTTTATAACCAATTTACTGGCAAATCAGGTATGAATGACTTTGATACAGTAAAATGACAACAATACCCAACAATAATGTGTAGCAACAAGCTGAGGCACTCCGCAACTCAGTAACTGCAGCTATCTGCTGTCAGCACGGATGTATGTGAGGCCAATTGTCTTTAAATGTTCTCTCTGTAATGAGGTGTATGCCCCTTTAAGATGTCCCTTTAGCAATGCCCAACCCCTCCTAGACTACTGGCCAGTAGTAATGTCCTGAGCTAGCCGGCGTTGGGGCCCTTACTGTGGTGCAGGTATGAACAGCAAATAGGTTTTCAATGTGGCCATAGGCCTCTCACCAATCCTCAGGTCAGTGTGCACAGATGAAGCTGGTAGCAGATGCTGGAGATCCTCTAACCCTCTGCAGCTCAGGCTCCGTAGGGGAAGTCGTCTGGGTCCCTGATAGAAAGTCTTCATTCATCCAGGATGTTTGCAGTCATCTCAGTTGGCTCCGTCTGGCTCCTCTCTCAGCTGGGCGGCTGAATTACTCCGGAGGCTGGTTCGGCCACGCAACTAGGCCTCCTCGTCCTTTGCGGTCACCGCGTCACCGGACCCCCTTCAGGCACTCGATCGGGTCCCGTCCGATTCAGCGTCAGTCTCTCTCTACACCGCTGCACAGAGCCTGTGTGTCCCTGTATATCAGCGGTAACCACACAGCTCTGTCTCTCACAGTCTTAGTCCACACATGGCTGCACAGGTCTTTCCTCTTCAGATGATGATCCCAGACTGCCCGCGCCCAGCAGCCACCACACTTAAAAAACTCCTCCTTTCTCCTGCATAGCCTCCTGGGAGCTGTAGTTTCAGAGATCACTTTTGCACAATCCCAGTCTCTGCTCTGCACTCCAACTCCCATAAATCTCCGCCTCCAGGGCACACAGAGGCCATTAACTATTCACAGTCAGGAACATGAATCACTGTGATCGCACATATACACATGAACACATATATCTATATCTATCGGGGCTACATATGATTTTGGTGTGTATAATAAACGGTATAGAAGCTCATTGGCATTGTCTGGTGTGGTCACGCATTTGGTCCTCACGTGGGGGTACCTGCATGCAGTGTGTGGACACCTGCGCACGGTACACTGACAATCAGCTTTCATCTCTGGGTGCTTGGTGCTGGTAGTTTACTGCACTGAGAACAATGCCTTACTCTACGCCATTCTAACATTAATTTTCCCCGTAACACCGACCCTGACTGTGACCCTAATGCTAACCCTCCCTATAAATGGAAACAAACAGGGATATTCACAAAAGGGTGAAGGGTTTGGAGAAGACAGGAGAAGTGAACAATCTAGGACAACATAGCTGATTTGGAAAAAAGTCTCCAATTCAGCTCACTTTACAGTTCACCTATGTTGTCCTAGAGTGTTAACTTCTCCTGCCTTCTCCAAACCCTTCACCCTTTTGTGAATATCCCTGATAGACTGTGATAAAGGCCATCCATTCTTTTGCTGAAAGATAACTGCGCTGGTATTTCACCACCAGGGTCCAATATTTAGTGCCAGATATCCCTTGTCAGCTAATTAAGCATAAACCTACCATCATTTTTATCTATGAATAGGTGCATCAGACATCACTATAAAACCATTATATGTTTGTTGCTTACCAATAATTGTGCTCTGCTCATGAAGGTTCACAGATACTCTAGGTATGCAAAGACATCAACATGGAGAATGTGGAACATTTTCTTTGCACTCACTAAAGGCTCCAGAAAGTAGGAGATTTAGTATGCATTTGTTTTGTGACACATAGCTCCACATCAAAAAGAGTCTAATGTTGCACCTACACACTGCAGGACATGCTTCCAGATGAAAAACACATGTAAACACCTCCCAGCTTGGTGGACAGCTGACCAGTGGGAGTGGGTCTATGCGGTATCTGTGGTCTGTATGTGGGAACTCATATAAGATTCTTATGCAAAATGTCACTTGTATTTTAAAGTGAACTTGTGGCCAGGCTATGGACATTAAACAAGTTACATGAGCTTAACAAGCTAGGAAAAAACCTCTTGACCAAGATCACCCTGATTTCAAAATGTGCTGGCACCCTGCAATAATTCAATCTGGATTTTCATAGCCAGTGTGACTTGCAATCAAGTCACATTGTCTGAATGACCTAGTAACCCTGATCTCGTCTACTTCTATCTCTAGCACTACAGCCTTTTATGATCAATCTGATTACAATAATCAGTGATCTCCCTCACAGGCTGTGAGATATAAGCAGAGGCTGTCACAGAGGTGTTTTGATCGCTTGCTGTGAGCAGAATCCCAATCTACAAGTGCTCTCCTGAGTATTGCTTGAAAGTCACATTAGTACACAAGTACAATATTTGGCAAGAGTGGGCAGTGATTATTAACATCCATCACCCACTCCTAGCTCCTAATAATCCAAAAACGTGGTATTCATGCCTTGTGTGAATCCCAATCTTTAGGGTACTTATACCTCTTTATTAACATTGGTTCGGCACTTGGGGCTTACATGGTCTGGGCACAGGTTTACTTAAAATCTGATTGATCGCAGACAATCAGTCAAACTAATTTTATTTCTATGTTAATGTGTACCATTTATTTTTTAACAAGGACAGCTTGAAAAATGAAGAAGCATCTATTTTGGACCTTTGGGATTACTGTGCTTTTACTCATGATTATACTTTTTTTCTATATGTACTATACCACTATGGATGCCACTATGTTTATGGACATTAAGAAAAAGTACAAACAGTGTTCCAGAAGAAAGGAGATGCTTGAAAATCCACTAATTGTAGACAAAGCAAATTATTTGTCTGGTATGTGGACTGTCAATGTTATTGGATGCCTGGGTAATCTAATGGGACAGTATGCTACCCTTTACTCCCTTGCCAAAATGAATGGCCACCAAGCCTACATCTTTCCAAAAATGCACGAAAAACTGTCAGAGATCTTTAAGATAAGATTGCCAGTGGTTAACCAGAATGTAATAAACAAAATCAAACGGAGGCATTATAGGCTTCATGACTGGATGTGTGAAGAGTACAGACATATTAAAGGGGAATATGTTTATCTTACTGGCTACCCATGTTCTTTTACATTTTATCACCACATAAGTAAGGAGATTCTACGGGAATTTACATTCCATGACTTCATAGTAGAAGAGTCATATGCCTATTTAAACAAAATACGTGGAGACAAGAAAAATGTCACTTTTGTAGGAGTTCACGTGCGTCGAGGAGACTATGTCTATTCAATGCCCAAGATATGGAAAGGCGTGGTCGCTGACAAAGGATATTTGCAAAAAGCCACGGACTATTTCAGAAACAAATATCAAAACCCAGTGTTCACTGTAACCAGTAATGGAATGGATTGGTGTACTGCCAACATCAATAATTCACTGGGAGATGTCTACTTTGCTGGAGATGGTCAAGTGAGAACCCCAGGTCAGGACTTTGCCCTTCTTGCACATTGTAACCATACCATCATGACAATAGGGACCTTTGGTATTTGGGTGGGCTACTTGGTAGGTGGTGAAACCATCTACTTAACAAACTACACACTTCCCGACTCTCCTTTTCTTAAACTTTTTAAATATATAGCTGCCTTTCTTCCAGAATGGATTGGAATTGCTGCAGACCTCTCTCCACTTTTAAATACAGATAAGATCTAACTCAGTGCTCCTGGGAGTTTGATGATGTCAAATGCACTTGATGTTGGAAGTGTAAAGAAAGCATTGGACTCATGTGGTTATTCTGTTGGTGTTTCGTATCCAAAAGTGATGTGAATATGTGTTATCTAGCTAATGGGTAGGCAGCTTCCACAAGCCAAAGGATCTCCACAGTATCCTTGGCTCAACAGTGAACACAGTAGATGTAGGAATTGAAGCACCTAACCATTTAAAAAAGTCCAGATGCAACTTTATTCCATTAGGGTCAAGGGACATTCAAGTACAGTAGCCAAGCCTGAAATACTTCCATCACAAATCAATACAACTTTCCAGCTGCAGGGATTGTAGTTCACATACATGATTTCTCTCTTTAATCTCTGATGAATGGGGTGTATTTTCCACCCTACCTGAACTGCATTGGCTACCCTACTTGAATGTCCCCTGACCCTAATGGAATAAAGTTGTATCTGGACAAATGTATTTGACTGAGACATGTACTTCTCATTGGACCACTATATTGTTTCATAAGATACAAAAACAAGAGTCATCATGTACAATTTACGATAATACCAATGGCCTTTATTATTCAATTAACATTTCAAGGGCCACTAGGTTTTACCAAAATTCTCAGATTTACCAAAAACTGTTTGTGTTTCTTTTACACAAATTAGGTTAGAGAATGAGATTGAACACCTCGCTGGTTGTAAAAAACCATTGTTTTATTATCATTTTTATATTCTAATTTTCTGATACCATATTTCATGATGCCAAAGTATATTTTTATAGTATAATTACAGTAATGATCAACCTTCAGCCTTCACCTCTTCCTGGTGGTTACTTAGCAATTTAGGTCACACTACATTGCGCATATGTAGGAGTGCTTAACCACTTGAGGACTGGCATGTTACAGGCCATTGTTTCAGTTTTCAGTGCTGTGATACTTTGACTAATATTTACTCAACACCACTGTATGCAAATCAATTTCATATAATTTTTCGAGACAGATTGGTTTTGAAATGTTTTTTAAAAAAAGTTTTCTTTTCTGTTTTCAAACATATCAAATAAATAATCTTTCTTTATACATTTAGGCCAAAATATATTCTGTTACATTTCTTTGGTACAAAAACCTAAATACATGTATAATATGTAGACCGTGTAAAAGCTATAGAGTCTACAAACTATGGTGCAACATTTATCGACCCTGATGTTCTTGACTTCCTATCACGTTTCTTAAGGCACTAAAATGCCAGGACAGCACAAACACCCCCAAAATGACCCCCCAAGGTAGTAAGAGACATAGTAAGTATTTTAAAGTTCTAATTTTTGCCACAAATATTTTGAAAATACAAAAAGTAAATTAAATTTCTTTTTCCCACAAAGTTGTCAATTTAATATACATTTTCCAGATATTTCCCAAACACAGCTTGTTCATACTTAAAATTATACCCTAAGGTTCCATTCACACCTAAGTTTTTGTGCAGTTTTTGTTAGACTTTTTACAAACGTTTTTAGGCATGTTTTCAGCTAGCAGATTGTCAGGCATCCAATCAAAAGCAATCCCATCCATGACATGAATTCCTCTTCCAAGTGGCATAACTAGATCCTTCAGGGCTCTGATGCAAGAAACTATGAAGGGCCCCCCCAACCCCCCGCCGCCATGGCACTGTGTGGTTAACAGGAAGGCTACCGAGGTCCCCAGCAAGCGCGGGACCTCAGGCAGCCGCTTCAGTTTAAAAATTTAGTGCCGGTGTTCTGTCGAGAACGCCGATCCATCATCTGCGTTTGCGCACACACAGGATTAATGAGGAAACCGGCATTTATTTACAAAGTATTTGTTTGTAATTGTTAATTGTGACTGTTAATAATATCCCATCCATGGCAGTAAATGATGGATGGCAGTAACGGTCGGCAAATTCGACTATGCCGGCGTTCTCGATAGAACACTGGTATCTGCGTTTAGTATCGGGGCATTTTCATGAGTATGAGTACTTGTGAAAATGCACTGTGTATTGGCACTGGCTGGTGCATACCTACTTAAAAATACAATGCATTGCTGGGACCTGTAGTCCTGCATAGTTGGTGCTTTTCTGCATTGCAGTATGATCATCATACAGCAACAGAATACCACCAGCTATGCAGGACTACAAGTCCCAGCAATACATTATAATAAAAATCAGCAATGCGGAATACCACCAGCAACCCCCACTCCCGCACATTCTGCTGGACTAGTGACAGCCTCTTCAGCCCCTCCGCACAGCCACCCGTGCATGCTGTGGGTGGCAGAGCGGTGGGGAAGGAGCGGCACTATCTCAGGGGGGGGCCTCTTCTTCCTCTCTGGCTCCCCCAACAGGTGGAACGTCAGGGCCCGGTCGCAATTGCGACTGCTGCGACCCTGGTAGTTCCGCCAGTGCCTCTTCCTGTTTCCTGCTTGTTGGGGGTGTATTCGTGAGTAGGCATGGGCTCAATGTTCGAGTTGAACGTGAGTGTTCGACTCGAACATCTGCAAGTTCATGTGTTCGGCGAACACAGGAACTATCAGGGCGTTCAGTGGGCTGTTTGTGCCTTGCAAGCCCTTATTAGCTAAAGCCTTGCACCTAACCACAGGTCAGGTGCAAGACTTTGCTCAATTAGGGGCAAAATCAGGATGACATGTTTGGGGGTGGGGTTCCTCCTTAAAATTCCTACTAGACCTTAAGGGTCTGGTATGACTTTAAGCGGCAACCCCATATACTTTTTTTTTTTTTCATGGAGTCCTTCCTAAAATTCCTACCAGACCTTAAGGGTCTAGTGTGACTTTTGGGGGGGGAACCCCTGGCTTTAAAAAAAAAATGGGATCCCTCCTAACATTCCTACTAGACTTAAAGGGTCTGGTATTGTTTGGGAGGGGGAACCGCACGCTTTTTTTTTCCCTTTTTAAATGTAATTTTTTTCTTTACAAATGTCATTTTTGCTGCAGCAGGTTCTATACATCGTACAGATGTGCCACTTTACAGGCAATTTAAGGGGATCCCCATGGCGGATATTTAAAGGAATTTTTCATTTTTACTGTTTATGTGTTTTTTTTCATTGATACATGTCCCTCAGGGCAGGGCTGGATGTCACTGGTTCTGGATGGCACTGAAAATTGAAAAAAATTTAATTTAACCACTTAAAGACCTCCTCCCTGCCCAAACCATTTTTCAGTATTCAGCACTGCGGAACTTTGACTGACATTTGTTCAGTCATGTAACACTGTACTGAAATGAATTTTATATATTTTTGGGGGGACAGACGGAGCTTTCTTTTGGTGGTATATAATCACCACTGGGTTTTTTATTTTTTACTATATTAAGTACAAATTATTGAAAATTGTGAAAAAAATACTTTTTTTTTTTTTTACATTATGTTATAATACATTTATTATTACCCAATTGTTTGGTAAAATATAAAAGACGGGGTCACATTGGGTAAATATACACCAAACATGCCAAGCCTTAATATTGCGCGCACCTGCAAAATACTACCATACCCAAAATTGACCATACGCGATGCTTTAAAAGCTTTTATCACTGATTGGTTTAGTGTTATCAGTGAATAATGGCCCTAAAATTATTGTTCTCACTCCGATGTTCACGGTGATATGTAACAAAAAGAAAGGTTTTAACTTTATTTTTTCACCTAACTTTATTTTTAACACATAAGGGGATAAGGAGCCCACTATGAGATAGCAAAGAGGATGTGTATGTAAACAGGCATCGTTGCCTGTTTTAAATATTGACAGTTTCCCCATGGGCGGGGCTAACAGACCATCTTTCAACGCCCTGTTCCATTCAAGAAGTTGTAATTAAACGGCCAGCCGGGAAGCGGTTAATGGCTCGGACAAGCAGATATTTTGTTTGTTTTATGCTGTGGTCTTTCTGTACAAACCCTCCTGCATTGAAAACTGAGTTTGTTGCTGCCTTGCTGAATAAACGTGCAAGATAAACCTGCTTGGGTTGTTACTGGGTGTCCCCCTATAACTCGGTGCACAGAATCACGCAGCGCTTTAAATAGACAGACACCTATTAGGCTCCATTCACACATGCGTGCACATTCATAAAGCGTGCACACCAATGCAGGCATCTGCATCCTGGATGGACAGGTGCAGCATGTAATTGTGTCTAATTGCGCGCAGCTGCCTGTACATTCCTATGAGAGGACGTGGCTTCATGCAGGTCCAGGTGCCCGCATTTGGACGCAGACACCTGTGTGAACGAGGTCTAACTGTAGTAAAACAGCTCATAATGTCAAATGCTAACCAGCAAGAGGCAAACTGCCTATTGGTCCAATAATTGTAACAGCTGACTGTGGCCTACCAGGCCTTTTGAAGGGGCAGCAGCAAGTAAACCAGTCTTTACAGCAGCAGATACAGGCCATGTAAGAGAGGCAAATGGCAGTGCAGTGGTAGACTTCTACTCATTGGCAGCTGTTTATGGAACTTGTCCCTGGAGGATGATATTGAACTTTACCTCGGCATCTTTGACAGAGTCCCCAAATGTGAAAAGCTACATGAGGCACGATGGGCTGATGGGCTAGCATCCTTTTTAACAGATGAGCCACGAAAGGTCTACTTTGACTTACAACCTCAGAATGCCAAGGAGTAAACCAGATAGTCATGGAGCAAAAGACAGGAAAGAAATAGGCGGAGGAACTACATGACAGGGTGGGCATGGGATCAAGAAGGAGGGGTCAAGGTTTTTCTTTAACCCCTTCATGACTGAGGCCTTTTTTTCATTTTTTGTACCCATGTTATATTCCACATTTTAGGCCTGAAAATGACATAAAACCCCCAAACATTATATATTTTCTGAATGCCAAGACCCTATACAATATAATGGTGGTAGTTGCAAATTTTTATGTTGTGCAATATTAGCGCAACTCCTTATTAAACCCCAATATTTAGTGAAAAATTTAATTAAATGCCCCAAAACACAACAAAATACCCATTTATTTAATGAAATATAAAAGATGAGGTTACAACGAAT